CGGGTTGATGTAGTGCTGGGAGGTCTGGTTTAGTGATGATGCTCCTTGCTTGTTGTGTGGGTGTCTATTTTTGTCAGTTAGGTTGATGGTTGGACAAGATGATCTTGAAGGTCCCTTCCAACCTAGAAGATTCTGTGATTCTGTGAAAAGCCACACAACATGGCAGATTTTCTGTTTCCTCCCCACCCCTCTTTGTTGAACGCTGCACAGACTCTCATGGCTCACCTGATACTGGTAGAGCTGGCGCATGAGGGGGCAGGAGATGAAGTGGTGGCGGTGCATGGCCATCACCAAGGCCCCGCTGTGTGGTGAGTTCATCAGCGCGGCCACCGCCTGGAGGAGTCGCCCCGTGATCCCGGTCACCGTGATCCCGGTCACCGGCGCGTTCCCCTGCCGGACACGAGCCAGTTCCTGCCCCAGGGCCTGCTGCAACGCCAGCGCGAGCGGGCGCAGGTTCGAGTTCTGCCATCGCGGGTCCGGATTGAGGGGGAAGAGCTGGTAGGATACAGATGGGAATATATTTAGGAGAGCAAATGAAAGAACTCGCTAAAATATAAATATCCTGAGGCAGAGGAATGATTAACTTGTATAATTATACTGTGTGGGCTAACTGGAACCTTCTGATTCAGCTTTTTCAATATTTTAGTGCCTGGTACAGGACCAGCCGCAGCATCTCCACAACCCCAGTATGACTAGCAACACCAACACTGTGGGGGAATCACCATATTCCACAAACACAGGCAACCAGCTCGGCCAATTAATTCCCTGTAGGCTCTTTCTGGAGTCAATGGAGAGAGGGAAGCTCTACAAATCTACAAGCCAGAGCCCAAATGCTGTTTGCACACAGCTTTGCTGCCAAGGCCCTGCGAGCATTTCGCAAATCCTCCGTTCGCTGCTGAGAGGAAAGGCACTACACACAGAACAAACATGGTGCAGAGACAGTAACAGGCTAGTAGGTGCTGACAGTATCAGGCATGATCAAAAGCCACATCGTGTTCAAATCATGTGATAAAAAACCTTTCCAATATCAATTTCACCAGCCTGAGGATTCCACCAGCCTCATTGCATGCAGGGCTTTCATACTTACTCTCTGCAAACCCCGAAGGAGGAAGGGGTCAGAAGATGCAAGTATAAAGGAAATGGATTTTTTTTAAAACCGGCTGCAAGGGAGCAGTCGATCAGCTAGAGGTTATAGCAGTACCTGCAGAAAGATGCCTGCTAGATCATCTTCTGGGCCCAGCACCCGGACCTGGCTCAAGGCCCGGATCCGGCTCTGGCCTTGGGAGTTCTCAGGACTAGATTTTGACCTGGCAGCCTCAGCGCTGTCTGCAAGAGGAATAAAAAACAAAAGAAAAAAAAAAAAAAGAAAAATGCCGTTATCTGGAGCATCTGGAGCTCCAGATGCTATCTGCCAGCATCTGGAGCCCCAACACTGGATCACCTTCAACATTACAGTCTCTAACTACTAAGGAATTCAAGAGCTTTTCTCTGGAGGCCAAGCAAGAGCTCCTTTTCCATATCACTCAGAACAACTCATTGTAGAAGGAATTTCTTCCTTTGCCAGGAGCAAAACCACTCTAGCAAGGAGTGGTGTCTAACTGTAGCTTGCTGTTATATTGCAATGCAATCCCTTTTGAAGGCAGCTTTTCCTCTCCCTCTCAACAGCAGCAAAGGAAGGAAGTTTGGAAGATGGCTTTGATATTTGGAAGTCTAGGCGATGGCAGGCAGTACCTCGGCGGGCTGGCAAGGAGGCAGTGAGCAGGGAGTGGAAAGTCTGGCCTCCCGTCGCTCCTCTCTCATGTTGAACCTCCACGAGGTGAGCCATGTAGTCTGAAAAAGAACAAGATATGAACAAATGATCATCTCCCCCTCCTTAGTAAAGCAGGATAGAAGTGGTTGCTGTTTGTTCAGCTCCCACAGCGGGGGGAATTTGCCATTTCCACAGACTTTCTAAACATGATGCTTTTAAGCCTTGTTTTTTTCACAAGTTGGCCTCCAAATTACTTTTTAAACTCTGTACGATCCAATCCAGAAAATCCTTCTTTACGTTAGGAAATACAGCCATGGGCCATCCAGACAAGCTCTAGAGAGCTGTCTGCAGTGACAAGAGGCTGCAAAAGCAGACTCTGCACAGAGTTTGCAGAACTAGTTTGGATTTCTCCAAGGAAGTCACAGGAGATATTTGTGAAAACTGTTCAAGAAGAAGAACTCAGCCTCATACGAAGCTCTTACTCTTGTCCATGATGTTCTGCTCCAGCGTCTGCGGGTCATGAGACACGGCCTGGTCCAGGTACTGCAGCAGTTTGCTCATGCTGGAGACTGGGATTCCAAAGGATTGAACAAAGAGAAGCAGCTGCTGTGGCTCCAGGTCCTGCAGGGCTGGAAAACACAAACAGCCAGTCCTCAGACCTCTGCTCACAGAGAATCATCTTTATTACCTGATCTTTGAGCTCTTGGCTGGACCGAGACTTCAATGACAGGGCTGCAGAGAGCCTAAAGCCAGCAGCCTGACAGCTGCCTACTATGTTTTCTTTGCTCTGCAAATCATTGCCTTCTTATTCTATCTTCCAGTTAATTCACTCACTGGCTAATTTGATCTTCTGTTTAATTTGATCAAAACCTCAGGAACCAAATCATTCGTATTAAAAAATAACTTCCACCCTATCTGTTGATGGCTGCAGGCAGGAATTATTGAATAATTCAATCACTGGCTATAGAGAGCTGTCATTTAATTAGTAAGAGAGGGACAAAAGCTCTGAATACCAAGAAGAAAGAGAGCACTGACAAGCCGTGCAAGGACAAAAGTAACTACAGGTAGAGCTTACATCCTTCAGACACAGCTCTCCACACTGCAAGCCCACCATGCCCTGGGGATTAATCTGTGGGGTCTGATGGTGGGCGAGGTTGTATCTGTTCTCAGACCCTTGTTACATGAACTACACACCATGGCTGAGTAGGGAATCATCCTGGGACATCCCATAACATTCCCTGCTCATATTCTGTCCATCTGTTTGACAGCCCTAATCTACCTGAAAGGAAGTTGTAGAGAGGTGGGTGCTGGCCTCTTCTCCCAGGGGAATAATGACAGGACCAAAGGAAATGGTCTGAAGTTGGTGGCAGGGGAGGTTTAGATTAGATATTAGGAAGAATTACTTTATTGAGAGAGTGGTCAGGCACTGGAACAGCCTGCCCAGGGAGGTGGTGGAATCACCATCCCTGGAGGTATTTAAGAAACGTGTAGACATGGCTCTTCAGGGCATGCTCTACTGCCCAAGAGTATTGGTTTGTGGGTGGCTGTGATGTGGTGGGGTATTGTGGTTTTTGTTTTGTTGTTTTTGTTTTGTTGTTGGGGTGTTTTTTTGGGTGGGTTTGGTTTTTTTTTTTTGAGGTTGGACTCAATGATCTCAGAGGTCCCTTCCAACCATGGTGATTCTCTGATTCTGTGATTGTGTGTTTACATCGCGACTGTCACAAAATCCAGAGACACGCTGCTTTCTAAATCCCCTGCAGGGTCTGCACTGACCCAGAGCCCACCCAAGCTGGGCACACAGAGGATTTGAGCAGGGAAATCTCTCTCCTTCCTTTCAGGAGGGTCTGAAACACCAACAGACATCCCAGGGGCTCACCTGCATCCACAAGACGTGGGACCTCGGAGCGGATCATGCGCAGCTTCAGCCAGTCAGGGAGCAGCAGAGCCTCCTCCGAGGTGTCGACCAGAAACGCGGTAGGAAGCGGCTTTTTCTCCGGAAACCATATATCCAGTAAGGTATAAAAATCACCATCCCCTGCTTAAGAGGGAATACAAAATTATCTCCCGTGTTCATAAGCACCTGGAATACCTTTCCCCTTCTCTATACAAATCACTACACCAAAACAGTCTTGTTTAAAGGTTAGAGACAACTTGGGAATAAACACTATCGAGTGGAAATGTGAACTACGCATCGGAGCGCCCAGTTCTCACAGCACAAAACATCTCTGAATCCTTCTTGTTTAGCAGGGAGGGACACACCATCATTTCATATTTCCTGCTCTATGCAGAAGGTATAAATAAGCCTGCAAATCCTTCGCTCTGTGCAGCAATATTCTGATAGATCTTACAGCTACAAACAAATATTGCAAGGGACAAGCCTGTGAGTAGAAGGATTACCACCAGCCTGACCTGTCAGGAGATGGGATGCAGAGGAAAGGCTCTCTGCATTGTCTGTGACCCCTTGAATAAATCTGAGCACACTTCACTAACCTTGAGGTGGCCCTAACGTCAGGAGAATAACCATGGCATGAACCACAAGGATGTGCATAGTGGCTGTTTCCCCACTAGTCCAACGAAGGAACACCTGATCCTGGGACTCTGACTGGAAAAAGGCAGGAAAAAAAAAAAAAAGGATGAAAAATGCTGGGGAGAGAAAGGAGAATGAGATCTGTGAGGTGCAGACAAAAGGAGAACGTGAGAATGGATTAATTTGGTCAGACCAAAGTTCAACCTAGTCCAGTGTCTCCAACAGTGCCCACAAAAGATACTCAAGGAGAAGTTAAAAACAGCTTTTTATGTTCACATACACTTGGCTTTGACACTATGGCAACCCCCAGTTATTTTCAGATCAGGGAATTCTTGAACTAGATGTGGTTTCTACATACTCAGTAGCCCACAATGGGCTCTTCTCTTTTGCTAACTTGTCCTCTTTTTTCTACCAGAATAAGAAAGGCAGGGAGGGACTCACCCAGCTGTACACCTCCTCGCCCTCCTTGCTCTGCCGCATGCGCTTGATGTAGCGAGAGAAGATGGAGAGAAGAGCAACAAGCACAGCATCTGACTCAGCACTGTAGGAGAGCTTGGAGAAGAGGTGGGACATGATGGTAGAACGTTCCACAATGAGTCGGGCTACATCCTGCAAGGGGAAAAAATCCATGAGGTCTTTACTGACCAACAGATGACCAGGTCCTCCTGCTTCACCGCATCACGTTCTCCCGTTTCCATCATCAGCCCAGTTACCACCACTCTGGAGATGAACGTGGGGAGCCAAGAGTAAAACCATCACACGAGGGAAAATGATGCTTTGCACGCATCGTGTGATACCTTACAGTGTCCTCATTTGTAGCACAGCTGCATCCCATTACAGAGGGAGCATTTGCCTAGTGAAAACCTGCATTTCTCTGAACAAACAGACCTACTGACTCCCACAATTTAACGTTCTCCACATACCTAAGCAGATCTACACAGGCAGAAGAAACACATGAGCCTGTAGGTCTGTGGAAAAAGACTGTCGTGAAGGATGTAGTTCAATGGACTTGAAAGCCATGGAAAAAAAGAGCACCCAGAGGCAAAACAATAAAAAAATCTCATTGTATAAAAGCCAAATATTTAAAAAAATAATTTAAGAAAATCACCAAAAGCTTTAAAAAAAAAACCAAAAAAACAACTAGAAATGCAATTTTGGTTATAGGAGAGTGCGTATCCCACTTGACTTCCCACATTCTCTCCCCAGATACATGTGACTGCACATTTAGCACGTGCTTACTGGTGAAACACTATGATGTGGTGGGAATTCCATCCAATCACTGCCCACTCTTGCATTCCCCATCCCAGCTGAGATGGGCTGTTATTGCCCTGGTATCATTTCATGATACAAAACCAAGGACACAGGTTCCCTGGGCAACACATCCACAGAAACACAGCAGATTCACGTGCTCTCAAGAACCTCATGGTGCTGGCACAGCAAGTGACACGCCTGACACTGCCCTGAGACATGCCAGGTGTCCCCCGTGCCACCCCTCTGCCCCAGCAACCCAGCCTCTCACCAGAGCAAGGTCATTGTGCTGTCCCTGCTCCTCCACTGGGGCGTGCTGGGAGAGGTACACCAGGTAAGCACTGATGGTCTGGGGATCTGTCTCCATGTGGATGGCCTAGAACGAGAATTCAAATCATTAGAAAACAGGAATTAATGAAAACAAGCACCAGCACAAGAAAAATTCTTTTGCAAGTAGACAAACGTATCGATATTGCCCCTACATGCAGTTTGCTCAGATTTGAGTAGGTCACTTGTCCCTTCCAGCCACCAAAGCTACCTGTTGCAAGGCAAGAGCTGTGGTTGCTCTGACGCTGTCGAAGAGCGGGAGCCTCGGGAGGTCTCTCAGCAGCCACTGGTATCCCTGCAGCAGTTCAGAATCCCCAGAGTCCTCCTCCATGGGGTGGTCCTTCTCCTCTCCATCACGCAGTCCCCCTTCCGACAGCACCAGGGACAGGCCCTGCAGAAGTCACACGGACACAGCTGGAGCATTTGAAGCCACAGCTGGACCACTAGTTTCATGCTAGTGAATATCATAGCAACAAGCTTCAAACGTCACGGCACGATCCAAACGCAGCACACGACAGGGTTTGTGTCTCATAAAATGCATTTGCTTGACAGCTGCCCTGCGTGAAGTTTCAGTTTGCTGTAAAGCATCATGTTTTTGAGCTCTCTGCAATTCTGCTTGCCTTGACTGGGCTCTAGAGCAACAGGCACTCGCTCATTTACACTCCCCACAGACCACAGCTGCTGCCAATTACTCCACACAGCACACATCTGCTGAGTCTACACCTGAACTTCACGGGAAACATAGCAAAATCCAGCTCCATCTTAAGAAAAGTACTATTTGGCTGTTGAACAAAGAAGGCTTCTGAGCAGCAGGGAGCAGGACTGCATTCGATGGGGTTTGGAAAAGAAGTTACTGAAGAAGGATGATGTGAGACAATTTCACTGCACTGGCTCTGGACTCGGGAGAATCCAGGACTTTGCCCTCAGCTTTTGACAAACTCTAGTGAAGGAGATTTTCATTTTGCTCACCTTCATTGCCAAGACCCGTGAGGCCACCTGGGAGGAACTCAGGCGGCGTAGGAAATAGTCAAGCACCTCGCAGGTTGTCTGTTCATCTGCTTTGGGACCCAAGAGCAAGTCTTGCAACCGGCCAAGCAACTGCCTTTGTTTCTGTTGTCTCTGTGGGGTGAGAAGTTGGCCTTTCCAATGAAATCAAATCCGGGAGGGACAGAAAGCAGGTACCAGAACTGATCCCCTGGAGACTACTCACCTGGCGTTTCTTGGCACGCTGCTCCTTACTCTCGCCCTCCTCCTCTTCCTCACCTGAGGTCGACTCATCAGCAGCATCGTGAAGCAGGAACTCACAAAGGCACTGCACAGGTAGGACATCCAAGGAGCCCTCGCTGGACTGAACCAGGTCTGCCAACCATGGCATTGACTGCGATGAGGCCTGGGAAGCAGGAGAACAACAAAGCAAGGTGAGAAGAACACAGAGGCAGCACACAATCAGCAGAACACAGATGTAGCACACTGATTGCTTAATTCCCAAGCAGAAAACCACCTTCTCTTGCATCTTCCTCAGCTTCCTTTTGCCTCTCAGTCTGCTCAAGTTTCAGAGACTAGGGATCAGATCCCAACATCTGGAGGGAACCCACCTGCCTTTGAATGATGTTGAGAAGGAAGTCAGGATGACGACTGCGACAGAGGAGGTGGCCCAAGCGAAGTGACTGGTTCAGGCTTTTCACCTGCTCCAGGACATGTGGGGGAGGTCTGCGGGGGGGGCCCCTGCCAGAGAAACAACAAGTTATCCCCAGGCACACACACTGTCACACTGGTGGTGATGAGGATCAGTCAGTTCAGTAGAGCATGGGGGCAACAGAAGGACAAGGACCAAACGTGACACATTATCCCATGGGCTACCCAATCTCAGGGCTCTTCTTGCCCACAACACCCCCCCTCTGAGCAGCAGGGCTCCCCAACAAGCATTAGCTGGGATTTCATTATGGCACCAGATCACAGAAGGTGACTTACTGAGGGTCCAGACTCGTCAGCTGGGACAGCAAGAGGCTGCTGCTCTCGGTAATTGTTTGTTTGGTGGAAGCAGCAGCCAGATGACCCTCAAATGCAAGGATCTCCTGTTTTTCTCTCTGGGAGATTTGAAGTTCACGATTAATCATCTCTGTGCGCGTCTCCTCATCCGTCAAGGTACATTGAGGGTAGGAATAATTACTGAGAAAATAAGGCAAAAAAGAAAACGGTTATCTCGGTCTATTCAAAACTCACGAACCACGGTCAGAAAAATCCCCAAAACCTCAGCTCCATAAAAAGAAAGCAGCTTCCCAGCAGGGCCAAGGAGACCCAGACCTTTTCAGCAAGGCACAGCAGTATCATCCCTCCCTTTTCCTCAGCTTTATTCCCTTGCTTATAATATTTCTGTTGGGCAGAGGCACCTTTCCCACTCAAACTGCAGTGCTGCTGCCAGCCAGCTTATTTTACACCAATCCCTCTGGAAAGGAAGGTGCCAATTGGCACAAGCTTCATTCAGAAATACAAGTTTTCAGTGGCTGATTTGATTTAAGCAGGGATTTAACATACTAACTTGGTCATGACCATTTCCATGAGCATCTTCAGAGAAGGGTACTCCTCCCATGCAGCCAGACCTGCAGCAGAGAAAGGCAATCAGGGATACAGGAAAAAAAGTGAGAGCCTTTATATACATTCTAACACACTCTAAAGGTGGGGAGACACACAACAAACTCACTTCATAACAGCCCACCACACTTAGAGCACAGACAACATGATTACAGCCACTTGCTGGTCCAAACCCCCCACACTGTGTATTTTTGGACACACAGGGAATACACAATTAATAACTGAGGTTATTAACCCTCTACCAACCCAGCACATGCCTTGAACACACACAACCAGACTTCAGCAGGCAGCACCTTGACCAATTTTTACAGCAGAACTAGTATCCTGAAAAATGTCCAATATTTTGGGTTTTTGTCCAACTCACCAATGTTTTCAGGATTGAATGCAGCCACTACAAGCAGGAGAGGCCAGGCTTTCCAGTAGAGGGTAGAAATAGCTAGATTTGGAGGCTGGTACCTGCAAAAGCCATTAACAGATACAAGTGGTTGGATTTGGTTAATTAAGGCCATCTCAAGACCGCTTTTCTCCTTAATCATGCACTGTTTAGATTCAGCTACAGGGTTCAGCTGAAAATTTCTAGAGCAAAAAGACCAGAGTGCTTGCAGAGCACAGTCCATTCCATGACCCGAGTCTTAACTGCCCTAGAGAAATTCCCACCTGAACACGACATTGAAAAGGTTTCCTCGGGATTTTGTTATTACAAATTGTAATAGGGAAAAGCATCTTAAAATCTGAGCTGGGATTGTTCACCACAAGATGAAAACGAGCTAGATCACAACAAGATTATATCTATGGGATAAGCCTTACCCTGGGGGTAGCTGGATATTCTCTGGATGGTGGTAAGTGCACAGATTTAAGACAGCATCGATCAGCTGGATTCTTTCTACCCTCAGGACCTCGACATCTGGAGGAGGAGAAGAAAAGACCAAACAAATTATTGACCTGTCTACCTGGCCCAAAGTCTTCCAAGAAGAGCATCACAGCAGAACAAAAATTTTACTTCAAGCAACTATGTTATTGTGGGCTTGGTCTCATGATATTACAGGAACAAAAAACCAACACTTAAAAGAACTACAAGTCAATATATAAGGATAGCCAGCTTTTCAGCTGCAATTTGGTTTAATTTCTTAAGGGCAGGGTTTTTCCCCAAATGCATCCAATATGATACCTGTATCTTTTTCAGATTCACTGCTTACCTGAAGGAGTGTATCTGCTCAGAACTTCTGGGGCTCAGAGGAACTAAAAAACATGCATTTTAAGTCTGTTGCAAGTTTTCAGACTCGCTCTAACTTAACTCTGAGTCTGCCAGGATTTGAAACGGCGCAGCATTTAAAATGCCACACTGAGAGGCTGGACACATTTTCACAGGATATTCAACAGCAAAGTCTAGCTCATTCCACTTGCACTGCCCTGATCTGGACTAGACTTTGCTATTAATGAAAAAGTCAGCACCAACAGCACATAAGATGCTTTAGAATCAAACTCTGACAACCCCTCTCAACTCAGACACCACCACAAATAACTCAACTGAATGGACACACTCTCCAAGGATGCAGGAATTTGGACAAATGCTGAATGAATTCATAAAAGGGGTAAGAGTTCAGGCTGCTTTTGTAACTGCTATTCTGTAACAGTGCTTGAATAATGAACTTGGGTTCAGGTTAATTACTTTAACTTCCAACCCTTTGATTTTTGCACGGCCTAAAAATTTCTATTCATCTTAAGGGATGTATAAATGACTAAATTGAATTTAAAAACGCTAACTCAAAACTTTGGGTGGTTATTCACAGTCCTTCATCCTTGACACAACCACTAATTTCCCAAACACTCCCTGATAGAAAATTACTAACAGGGAGAAAGAATAGGAGAAAATAAGAAGCTTCTCTAGTGAGAAAGCAACAGCAATACATATCTGGCTTTGAGCCATCATGACTAAAACACGCTTTGAATGAGGCAAAGGCTCTTTGGTACGTGGTAGGAGCCACCTCAGCCCTGGGTGGCAGCAAGAAGACACGCAGACAGAAGTGGCCACTTGCTGGTTGGAGCTTTGCACAGTCTTACCATCTGCTTGCACAGCCGCAGCCCGCTTCACCAGGTGGTCTGCGAGCTCCATGGCATCAGCAGGGCCAAGAGGGAGGTCCCGCGACAAACCGATCACCAGGATCCGCATCAGGGTGTCTTCAAGGATGGGCACCTCGGAGCAGAGGCGAAGGAAGAAGCTGCACGAGACACGAGACATCAATCACACTTCTGAGAGCAGCCTGAGGGTTCCTGAAACCCTCCAACACCCCAGAGCTCATCTGAGCAGAAGATAAAATCACAGCTTAGTTTACAACTCCTTCCCTGGTCTCCAGCTCAAAATGCAACTACCTAAAACAAATTGCTTTATGGAATCTTGCTCACATTGCCTTGTACCTCTACACTTCAGCCTGCTTGAGTCTGAGCTTCCTAAAGATATCCCAGTACAACCCATACAGTACAGGGCTGTCCTTTGTAAAATTACAGATTTGAGACACAGAACAGCTTGGCACAGGGAACATGAATGAAGGAGGAACAGATGGAGAACGGAGCAGCATCCCTCATTTTTAAGGCAAAGTAACAGATGAAGAAAATCCAAGCACAGTTCAAAACCCTCCCAACGCAGAGCTATATGAGGAACCCCAGAAAACCCCAATTCCTCTGCCTGGGGCACACACTCACTTGCGGTCACTCTCAGGGGGCCAGTTGTCCCATTTGTAGTAGGTTTCTGGCTGCTCTGTGAAGAGCACCTTGTGGAGGCTGTAGAAACAAAGAGGACAGTAAACACCATCTGTGTGAGGCTCAAGAACATGTCCGACAGTTCAGTCTCCCCAAATTCCTGCCAATGCTTCCCATCCTATACATGATCCCCCTCAGATAAGCTACTCCAGCAAAATTAACAACTCTGATCACAAGAGAGAACTATAGAGTACGGGCATTGGGGGTTTACACTTCCAGTGAACACATTTCAGATGCTATTAATTCTGCCTCAGTAATGCCTTGAGGCAGACCCCAGGATATAACCAGAAGCAGCCAGAGAAGACAGGACTATCTATGGAGTCATCAAACATACAGCCTGAAAAAACATGTCAGACAAAACACCAAGGGGTCCACAGGGATCATGCTTGGTAAGGCAACTGGAAATTCCCTGTTGGGTGGGCCCAAATAATACAAATCAGAAATATTTTCCATTTCTGATAAGAGGATGCATCTGCAGGAATTCCTGAGAGGGAGATAGTCCCAGCCTGAACCCCGCTAAAACACTGTTTCTGTTCCCTGTCTGATAAGGGGAGAGAAATCTAACCAAACCCTGGCATATGCACGTGGTTTTTCGTAGCACGTCACACACTGTGGGGAAAGGGGCTGGTTCCACACAGCAGATCACCAGGCTGACTCTTACCAGTGCACATAGTCCTTTGGAGCCAGCTTGCTGATAGATGGAACCACCGTGTGAAGCCACCAGACAGCGTCTCGTTGGATAGCAGCAATTTGGTTCTGGAAAGAGCGTAGCACTTCCAGGTCTGTAAAAGAGTAAGGTTACAAACTGTGCATGTACCAGAGCCCCAGCAGGAGAGGGTGCCTGTTTCAAGAGCAGAGAGTACCCAAGGCTCAAAGCATCAGCAGTAAACTGGGAAGAGGTAGACTGGACAACCTTAAGCAGAGAATCATAAAATGGTTTGGGTTGGAAGGGACCTCAAAGATCACCAAGTTCCAACCCCCTGCCCTGGGCAGGGACACCTCCCACCAGCCCAGGTTGCTCCAAGCCCCCTCCAACCTGCCAGGGATGGGGCAGCCACAGCTTCTCTGGGCAACCTGGGCCAGGCTCTCACCACCCTCACAGCAAAGAAGTTCTTCCCCACATCTCAGCTCCATCTCCCCTCTTCAGCTTAAACCCTTCCCCCTCGTCATACCCCTACAAGCATCCCAGCACTGAGAGCACAAGTGCTTTGCTTTTGGATTGTGCTGCAACAAAACCCTGAGATGTAGCATGGATGAACGAGCACTGTGAGAAGACAGCATCTGGACAGTCACTTCAGTGCCACCCCAAAGGCCTGTCTTCTCAGCATTAGGCACTTGGTAATCCTGACTCTTGCCCCAACCCCAGAATCTCTGCCAGCACTGCCAGAATCTATCTACCATGCCACCCATCTTCAGAGGAAACCTAGATTGTTCTGCTTACTCTTTTTCTCTCCTTTGTCCCAAGCAATTCCAGCCTCCTTCACCTGGGCTGTGATACCAAGCATCATGGAGACAGCGAGCAGATCAGTTATGTGGATGACAAACCGCTCCTTAAAGAAAAAAATCCCAGTGAGTTCCATCAGTAAAACCCAAAGCTGCCTTCTAAAAAATGGTTTCATCATCACAAATGACAGTCATGCATGGTTGGAAATGGGATGTGGGAGCAATGCTATGAAGTGTGAGATACAAATATTGACTCATAATGAAGAGGAAAAGAAAGAACAGCCAGAAAAACAGATATGGAAGAGGCCAGTCCACCATCCAGCAGCAACGAGCTCAAAGGATGTGTACCTTGAACTCCATTTCCACGTACTGGGCCTCCTTCCGCTCCTGCATAAGGCCCAGACAGAAGGCCTGGAAGTTGATCTCATGTTTTGTCTGCTTTATGATCTCTCGCAGCAGAGCCCGAGACGCCCGCAGGTAATCGTCCTTCGTGGTCAAAAGATCCTGGAACACCATCGCTAGGTACTGAGAGAGAAAAAGAGAAAAGTTTAATTCCATTGTAATGTATCTGCAGCCACAAAATGAAAAGACCCAAGGAAAGAATGCTGGTGGTACATCTGTCCTTCAGATGGCCAGGGAAATAACACCATTTCTTTATGAAACTTCATTATCACGAGGCTGGTCACCCAGAATGTGGGAGTTAGTGCACATTTATCCCAAGCAAGTTGCAATTCTACAATTTCAAAACAGTACAATACAGATCACACAGTTGTCTGTGGAAAGATTTCTCTGAGCCTCAGTTCAACTGAATCTCTGGGATCACCCTCAGTCAGACAAGACATCACACTTACCTTCGGAGCTTGCTCGGAGCTGTGCTGAAGCACAGTATACAGGATCTGCATGTTGTTGGGATTTCTGGCATTTGATAGCTCGTTGAAAATCACAAACTTAATTGTGGTGCCCAGGTTATCCCTGTGCGCGTTCAGCAGCTCTCTGCAAGGGAAGAGCAGAGGTTTCAGTGCAGCTATAGACCCACTGCTTCCATTTCTCTTCCAAGTATTTAACCCAGAAAAGCAAAGACGATGGAGCAGCACATGTGTCTGGCAATATCAAAGGCTTCTCTTCCAAGTATTTAACCCAGAAAAGCAGAGGATGGAGCAGCACATATGTTTGTCAATATCAAGGGATTACTGAAAGACTTCCAGGTCTTTTAATGTTCATTTCATGTTACACAGGACACCCCATGGTCCATGCTGGTATTTAAAACCACTCTGCAGAGACACTGAGACCGTCAAGGCCCTGGGCACATCTTCCAAGGTGCTTTCTCTTCCCATCCCAGACCCGCTCACTCACTCACCTGATACACAGCATGTAGTGGTTGAGAAGGACTTTTGGCTTGAGACGAATTTTGATCAGGTTGGAAATAACTTCCATGTCCTCTGAGCTGTGGGTGTTGCAGTTCATACAGACTGACATCAGCAAGTCCTGAGCTGGCTTGGTCAACTGCAGAGGGAGAACAAAGAAAAAGGCTACAGCCGCCTGCCATCACAGGTCAGAAACAGAACTGGCACCCAGTATGAGGCCCTCCTGGCTGGATTCCAGACCAGGTCCAGAAGAATTGTGCTTCAACAGCTTTTATCCTTACCTTTGGATTCTGCAGCCACATCTCCAGCCTCTGCACAGCCATCTGCCTCACCTCCTTGTAGCCACAGGTTGCTGTCAGCAGTCGAAGGAGGTTCCTGGAGACATTGTCCATCGGCTGGCGCCGGTTGAGTTGGTCCCGCAGCATGTCTAGGACATATTCCTCCACACTCTCCACGAGGTCATCATACCTGGGCCACACAAACTGTATTTTATTCACTTCCACACAAGCCAGCTTGGTCACACTTCGCTGTGTTCAGAGATCAGCATCCTTTCTTCTCTGTGGTACGTTACAAACAAATTCTACTCTTTTCTCCTGGAATCACACGTATCTGATGCTCAACATCCTCTACCCAGGGGCACGGGATAGCTAGTGCAGAGGGAGTTCCCTGAGTGTCATCACAGACAGCGTCAGAAGAAGAAGAGACATCATACCTGGGCATGAGCTGGCCCTCCTGCTCTGGGCTCATCTTCTCCTCTGCAATCAGCAGCTCACTCTGGCTGTCTTCCTCCTCCGTCATGGAGGGGTGTGGGCTAGAATCACACGTATCTGATGCTCAACATCCTCTACCCAGGGGCACGGGATAGCTAGTGCAGAGGGAGTTCCCTGAGTGTCATCACAGACAGCGTCAGAAGAAGAAGAGACATCATACCTGGGCATGAGCTGGCCCTCCTGCTCTGGGCTCATCTTCTCCTCTGCAATCAGCAGCTCACTCTGGCTGTCTTCCTCCTCTGTCATGGAGGGGTGTGGGCTACTCCCTAAGAGAGACCAGCACACAGCACAACTTGTGAGAAAACTTCTTTGGTCTAGAGATCACTCACTCAAGCTCTCATGTGCTCAGCTTCTTTCAAGGATTCCCTTCAGCAGCACTGAAGGAAGCCACAACCAGTCACTTCCTCACACTGTTTCACACACACACACACACCCCTCAAGCCTCTTTCCCTGCCTGCCCTCAAACATCCCCTAGAAATAAAAAAGCCCCAAAGAGAGCAAAAGCAATGCCTGCAACTCAAAACGTGGTCTGTGTGACTCCACCCAGTAACAAACTATTCTCACCAGTCTCCATCCTCTCCCCACCCCTTTGTTCCCGCTTCCCAAACACCTTCTTACCAGCACTAAGGTCCCCTCCGCTGCGTCCAACCTCCCCATGCAGGAGCATGCTCTTAGGAGGCATCTTTGTGTTAAAAGCTGTCTGGATGTTATCCACAAACGTCTTGCAGTGAGGGCTGTCCACCCAGATGCGCTCCCCGAGGGAGTCCTCAATGTAAACCTGCAGAAGAGAGCACAAACCAGGCTCGAGCTTTTATTTCTTTTTTCTACTAGCTGATCAGAGGAGTATCTGTGAGCTTCCCAAGTTTGGATTTGTCTTCAACATACAACCGTGAAGTAGAAAAACAGCATAACTATTGCATGGATCAAAAACAGACCAGATGACTGTAGGCAAGTCACATAAGAGCAAAACACCAAACCATCACATCCCAAGCTCAACTAGACACCACCTCTCTCAAGCAACAAAGCTGATTAAGCTTTAGCAAAGACTTTCCAACAACTTCTACCACCAAAATATAGAAGCTCGCCTTTTAAAAGCTAAACCTTTTTAAATCAACAGGTTGTGTTTATCCTTATAGACAAACTAGATAGTAAGAAGCCTCTGGGACACTTCTATCAGCACAGACTATCAAAGGCATCTCAGAAAAGAGCAGAGATAAGACAACAAAAGGCAAAGGAGACCACAACATTTCAACAACTGGTTTTCTGGAGTTTTTTTGCCTTGTCAATACAGCACAGGCTCAGCCTCCAATTTCTGCCCCTTCCAGCTGCATTCCCCACGCTGGACAACAGGCCACTGGATACCTCCTTCCCTCTGCTTCTATCCTGCCCCCAGCACACGCAGCCTTCCCAACCCTGGGCAGTTTTCCCCAGTCTGCCCACATTCTGGCAGAAGCCCCTTCAGTTCAACAACCTTGACAAAGATCTCTGGCCAGTTCTCATCCTCTTCGTAAGCTGCCATGAGAAGGTTGCAGGCCAGGACAGACACCAGGCTGTTCCCTTTGGCTTTGAAATTGATGGAGGCATCTCTCCGCAGCAGGCTGCACAGCGCCTGGAATATCAGCCACAAAAAATAAATTGAAATAAATAACAATCAAGCCATCTTGCAGGAAAGCATAGAGAAAAGCTTTAGAAAAGCACAGCCCTCACCTCGATAACCCCTTCAGTGGCAAATATGTTGGGTTTGATTTTTGCCAGGTACATGAGGCTCAGGTAGAGCGTGGTGTCGGGTTTGGCTCTGTTCATCTTCAGCTGCTTTGCGGCTCCGCACAGCACCCCCTCGATACGGTCGTCGTTACCTTCTGCCTCTGCTGCCTCAATCTCATCCAGCAGCACCGTGGGGACAACTGCAATCATCAACACACGGGCACTGGTATTGACCTTCACACAAAATAACCCTCCCCAGGACGCTGGCAGGGCCAGTCTGCAGGAAAGCAAAGCATGGACCTGCTCATGTTTAGCCCCTACGACGGCTTTTCCCTTCCCAATTGCTACTAGAAGTTCTGTTTCACACCCAACAACACCCCTTGATTATCTTTCACAGAATCACATGGGGTTGGAAGGGACCTCTGGAGACCATCTAGTCCAACCCCCTGCCAAAGCAGGTCCACCCAGAGCAGGTTGCACAGGAACGTGTCCAGGTGGGGTTTGAATGTCTCCAGAGAAGGAGACTCCACCACCTCCCTGGGCAGCCTCTGCCAGGGCTCTGCCACCCTCACAGCAAAGAAGTTCCTCCTCATGTTTAGGTGGAACTTCTTATACTCAAGTTTGTGCCCATTCCCTCTTGTCCTGTCCCTGGGCACCACTGAAAAAAGACCAGCCCCATCCACCTGACACCCACCCTTGAAGTATTTATAGGTGTTGATCAGATCCCCCCTCAGCCTCCTCTTCTCCACACTAAAAAGCCCCAAGTCCCTCAGCCTTTCAGTCCCTTCAGTGGGTCCGTGCCAAAATACTCCTCTGCAAATGCATCAGACACCAGAAAATGGAATGATACTAAAAAGCCCCAAGCCCCTCAGCCTTTCAGTCCCTTCAGTCAGCATGCTAGAATACTCTTCTGCCAATGCATCAGACACCAGAAAATGGAATGACACCTCAAAAAGGAAGCAGTGCTCAGGTCCAGAGTCCACTAAAGAAATACATGAATAAAATACCACAATCCAGACCCAGAGATTTCCTCAGGGCATCTTTCAGCTGCTGCCATTACACAGCTATCAGGCAGGATGAACACAACTCAGTGCTAACAGGAGAGGAGGCAGAACTGTGACTTCAGCCCTGCATCCAGCAGGGAACCCCATAAGGACAGCACATAACCCTTGCTTTAGGGGCTTAGACAAACTCCCCCCCGGCCCGAGGCTCCCGGGGGACGAACCGAAATTTCCACCCCCCCCCTCGAATCCACGCACCATGAGGCCTCACCTTCGATGGGGATGACAGACGGCTCCTTGATGGAGGGTGAAATGGCTCGCTTCTCCGCCACGGCGGCCTCTGCCAGCCGTCCCAGGGCGCTGAGGGGGGGTGTGGAGGAGAGCTTGGGGCGTTTGGTCAGGCCGGGCAGCTATCAGGCAGGATGAACACAACTCAGTACTAACACAAAACTATGACTTCAGCCCTGCATCCAGCAGGGAACCCCATAAGGACAGCACATAACCCTTGCTTTAGGGGCTTAGACAAACTCCCCCCCGGCCCGAGGCTCCCGGGGGACGAACCGAAATTTCCACCCCCCCCCTCGAATCCACGCACCATGAGGCCTCACCTTCGATGGGGATGACAGACGGCTCCTTGATGGAGGGTGAAATGGCTCGCTTCTCCGCCACGGCGGCCTCTGCCAGCCGTCCCAGGGCGCTGAGGGGGGGTGTGGAGGGGAGCTTGGGGCGTTGGCCCCCCCCGCCGGCCCCGCCAAGGCGGCAGCCGCCTCCCGCTTGCGCTCGGAGGGCAGCCCGGGAGGAGCCGGCTTCAGCAGGGTGACGGCGGCTTTGCCTTCGCCGCTCTGCCCCTTGGAGCCCAGCGCGATGAAGTCTCCCGGCGGCGGGTGCGCTGTGAGGGGACAAGGGGACAGACGGGGATGAGGGGGGACGGAATCTGGGGGGATCAGGGGCAGGAACGGCAGGATGAGATTAGAGGATGGGATTGGGATGGGGGGGCTGGAATCAGGAGCTGGAAGGGGGGCAGCCTGGGATGGGGGCTGAGATTGGGGAGATGAAGATCAGGGGCTGAAGCTGGGTGGCCCCATGGCAACCGGCCGCCCCCTACCCCTTGTGTGTCCCCCCCCACCCATGCCACCACCCTGTCCCCACGTCACACTCCCAGGATAAGTTGTCCATGTGCCTTTATTGAGTGGGGACCGCGGGGACCCACAACAACCCACACCTGGACCCACACCTCTTCCTTCCACAGCACCCACCCAGGACCACCCGGGGGGCTCCCAGCAGCCAAGCCTCCCCGGTCCCCAGCCATATGGAGGGGGGCACATGGCGGAAGGTGACAGTCCCCACCGCCTCCTCCGCGGTGGAATCCCAGCCTGGAGGGCCAGAGCATTCAGCATCCCCCAGCTGGGGGGTCTGGGCAAGGTGGGGGTGACCCTGCAGCCCCCCCCTCACAGCCACCGCAGGGAGAAGCCCTGGCTGAGGCTGAGGCCAAGGTCACTCACGGTGAGAACCTGCAGAAGAAGAGACATTTTGGGGTACAGCGGGGCTTGGCTGAGCTCTGCTCCTGCTGAACCCCAACATGGTGGGACAGCCACCCCAGAGTCCTCACCCACCTCCTCAGCCACCAGCCCTGTGACAAGGGCTGGGGGAGGAGGGATGGATACCCCCATGATAGGGTCCCCCAGGACAGGGTAGCTCCCAGCAGCCAAACCTCCCCGGTCCCCAGCCATATGGAGGGGGGCACATGGCGGAAGGTGACAGTCCCCACCGCCTCCTCCGCGGTGGCATCCCAGCCTGGAGGGCTGGAGCATTCAGCATCCCCCAGCTGGGGGGTCTGGGCAAGGTGGGGGTGACCCTGAGCCCCCCACTCACAGCCACCGCAGGGAGAAGCCCTGGCTGAGGCTGAGGCCGAGGTCACTCACGGTGAGAACCTGTGGAAGAAGAGACATTTTGGGGTACAGCCTCAGCAGGGCTTGGCTGAGCTCCACTCCTGCTGAACCCCAACATGGTGGGACAGCCACCCCAGAGTCCTCACCCACCTCCTCAGCCACCAGCCCTGTGACAAGGGCTGGGGGAGGAGGGATGGATACCCCCATGATAGGGTCCCCCAGGACAGGGTACCCCAAGAAGGAGCCATACCTGGTTGTCCAGGTAGGAGAAGGGCTTCTCCTGGCCGTTCAGGAGGACCTTGCTGGGTGGCTCCCGCACCCCAAAGATGCTCAGTGTGCCAATGGTGACCTCGGTGGCCTCGGCGCTGGCGTGAAGGACAGTGGAGGTGAAGATGTTCTGCAGAAGAGGATGACATCAGCTTGAGGTAGCCAGGTGCCACGGGACACCCCACTCCTTCCCTCCCCACCACGTCCCACCTGTGTGACGTTGAACACCAGGTAGGAGTAGCTGCCCCGCTCAAAGGTGTCCAGGCTCTCGCCGTCATCCCAGAAGAGGTCCCCCCAGGCGGTGCCACTCTGGGACAAGGCCACGATGATGCGCAGGGGGTTCCTTCGGGTCGCCTCGGTGGTGGTCTCTGGTTTCTGGGGTTCAAAGACATGGTTGCTGCAGGGTTGTGAGCACCCGGGATGGCGGTCTGGGAGCTGAGGTGCTGATGGGGACACACACACTCCCAGGAAAGGGACGGGTGGGTGCTCACCTGGGTGGGCAGGATTGCGCCTTCCCGGACGTGCAGGTTGAGGTGCTCCAGGGGAGCTGACATCTTCAGCATCTCCCCACTGCTGTTCACTGAGGAGCCCTGGGCAGGCGGCGAGAGACATGGGTGTGAAGGAGTCGGGGGCACAGCGGGGGGCCTGGGCACAGGTCTGGGGACCAGCCATCCCCACCCCTTTCTCCATCGGGGCTTGCTGGGCTCAGCTGCAGCTTCCCACCCACAACCCCAAGATGGTTGAGTGAGGACCACCCAGCCCCTGGCCGAGCGTTGAGGTGCTCCTCACCGTGTAGAAGTCGTACCACACGCCTCGGGGGACGTAGCCCGTGACCGAGTCCACCCCGGGCTCCAGCACCGGTGTCACCAGCAGGCACCGGCCCCACAGGAACTGCCTGTCCAACTCCAAGGTGGTCACATCCCGGGGGAACCTGCGGTGGGATGGAGACGCCGCTCGGATCGACCGCTTCTCCGTGATCCAGCCTAAGCATCTCCCCAGCTCCTGGTGGGGCTGCTCTTACTCAAAGAACAAGGGCCGGGCGACGGTGTCCCCTTGGAGGTGGGCACGGTGGAAGAGGGTGTAGAGGAAGGGCAGGAGGGAGTAGCGGGTCAGCAGCACGTCCTTCATGGCCGTCCTCGCTGCTGGGCTGAATGCTGTTGGGTCCTGGGCCTGGGGGAGATGTGGGGAGTCATCAGCCACCCCAAATCCAACCCTACCAGGCAGCCCTGATGCTCCTGCCCTCCTGCATCCCACATCCCACATCCCCCATCCCCATCCTGCATCCCCCCATCCTGCATCCCATGTCCTCCATCTCGTGTCCCCCATCCCCATCCTGCATCCCTCATCCTGCATCCCCCATCCCATGTTCTCCCCCATCCTGCATCCCCTCATCCCGCATCCCATGTCCTCCATCTCACGTCCCGTATCCTTCATCCTGCATCCCCCATCCTCTATCCCACCATCCTGGCTACCTCAAGCTCATGTCATCCCCTCCTGTAGAACATCTTCACCTCCACTGTCCTTCACGCCAGCGCCGAGGCCACCGAGGTCACCATTGGCACACTGAGCATCTTTGGGGTGCGGGAGCCACCCAGCAAGGTCCTCCTGAACGGCCAGGAGAAGCCCTTCTCCTACCTGGGCAACCAGGTATGGCCCCTTCTTGGGGTGCCCTGTCCTGGGTGACCCTATTGTGGGGGTATCCATCCTGCACCCACCATCTCCATCCCCCATCCCACCCCTGGGATGCCTCCCACCGCCCACGCTGCCCTCCACCTTCTCGTTCTGGCTGTTGTGGTTGCGGGCGAAGGGGTAGAAGGCACCGAGCTGCATCCAGCGGGTGCAGAGCTCCTCCGAGGTGCTGCCAGAGAAGCCACAGATGTCCGCCCCGACCAGCGGGATGCCAAAGAGGCTGAAGCTCAGCAGCCCTGCGGGCAGGGAGGCTCAGCAGGGGACAGGGAGTTTCGGAGATGGCTCCAAAGGAGCAGGAAACTCGATGGAGCCGGGGGGTGGTGCTGGTAGGGAGGTGTGTGCCTGCGTGCAGCCAGTGCCACCCACCTGGGATGGAGTAATACATGTCCTTCCACTGGCTCCGGTTGTCACCCAGCCAGTGCCCCGAGTACCGGCCCTGGCTGGGGAAGGTGGAGCGGGAGATGACGAAGGGGCGCTTCCCCCGGATCTGGATCAAGGCACTGGAAAAGAACAGGGAGAGCTGGGGGGCAGGAGGTGAGAGCAGCCCCCCAAGGAGCTCAGCTTACCCCACAAGAGCGGAGGGAGAGGTCCAGCCCCATGGCTGCCCTGTGGGGCCGGAGGGTCGGCCCGAGCAGGACGGGGAAGGCTGAGTGCCAGGACCAGCCCCGTCCACCCATCCCTCCTGGAGCAGAGCCAGTTCCTTCCTCTGCGGGGCTATTCCCATCCCGGAGGCTGTGAGCAGCCGGAGCATCTCCCCTTTTTTGACTACTCAGATCATAGGACAAGGGGTAAGGGCTTTAAACTTAAAGAGGGAAGATTTAGATTAGATATAAGGATGGCATTTTTACACTGGTCCAGGTTTCCCAGAGAGGTGGTGGCTGCCCCATCCCTGGAAACATTCCAGGTCAGGTTGGACAGGGCTCTGAGCAACCTGGTCTGGTTGAAGATGTCCCTGTCCATGGCAGGGGGTTGGACTGCATGGCCTTTAAGGGTCCTTCCAACCCAAACAATTCTATAATTCTGTGAAATCCTTGTCCTTTTCCTACACAGCCCTGCGCAGCAGGATTTTGTCCCATCCCATCCCCAGCCCGGCAGGAAGCGGGATGTTCGGGTAGCGGGATGCTTGGGAAGCGGGATGCTTGGGTACCTCGCCGTGGCTTTGGCTTCCATCAGCCCGTAGAGGTTGTGGAGGTTGTAGTGCACGGAGGCTTTCTGCTTCGCCGAGGCACACACCGTCTTCGCCGAGAGGGAATCGCCCAGCACGGCTGCCAGGAGGGAGAGCCCCCATTGGCACGTGGTGGGGGGGGGACAGGGGAGGTGAACCCCCCCGAACAACGCTCGCCAGCTCTGGGCCAGCACACAGGAGCCAGCCATCGCTGCCAACCCAGCACCAAAAGCTCAGGTAGATGGTCCCATCCTGCGCCCTGGCACGGCCCCAAGAAGCGTGCAAGGCTTGGGCACGGCTACAGGCACACACAGGTAGAGATGGAGACGTTCAGGGTGTAAAATGTGGACACAATGTCTCTTAAAAATGGGGTTCCTCCCATAGCACTTGGCTGTCAGTGATCCCAAAGTACGTGGTACCCACCAGCACAGCCTTGCATTTCATCTCCCTCCTTACCCGGCGTGTAGGGTGGGCTGTCGAGCTCTCCTGGGGGGCAGCCCTCTTCAGAGCCATCCATGAAGTTGGACGGCTCGTTCATGTCCTAAGTGAAGAAAACCAGGGATTTATTTTCAAGGAGGTAGGGGGATAAGGGGATAAGCCTGGAAAGGCTGCATTTGAGGGACAGACGGTCCCACCAGGACACACGGTGGGTGCGAGCCGAGCTGCCAGCAGGGAGTGACCCGGGGGACAAGGAGGGACTTACGATCCAGAGGCCGTCGAAGGGCACGTGGGCATGGAAGTGCTGCAGGTTCTCCAGCCACCACTGCTGCGTGTCCGGGTTGGAGAAGTCTGCGAAGGCGGTGAAGCCGGGCCAGACCTGGGGGGGACACCACCAACCCATGGGTTCAGTGGGCAGGCAGATGGAGAGGGGGGGGCTGCCACAGGGAAGAGGGTGCCAGCAGGGGGTGAAATGGGCAATAAAACAGAAGACAAAGCCAGGCTGGCTGCTTCGAGCCCCGGATGCTGTGCCTGCAGCATCCCTCCTGCTCCGTGGTACCTGGGAGCCTCAGGGTACCCAAGCCCTGACACCAGCCAGGCCAGGGCACGTCAGGGAAAAGCTGTGATTCCTCCACACTTTGTCTCACTCCAAGAATTTTGGCCAATTCACATTTTTTCCCCAGGTTGTCAGGCTGCATTCCAAGCCCCCTCCTTGACGGTGAGGGAGAAGTGGTGGGAGCAAACGGGGGGGACAAACTGGAAAGGGAAACGCTGCGGAGCAGATCCAGAGGTGCCCGTCCATCACCGACAACCTCCCCTAACCCCAGAAACAGGAAGGGAGAGAAATCAGATGACGGGCCTTGGGCAGCGCCGCCGA